AGAGATAAAACAACCAAGGAGACAAAAGGTATTTCAAATTCTGAAGATCGCAGATGACAGGAAAACAAGAATTTGGAAAAGAATTCCATAGATGAGAAGTGTGTGATTAGTATAAAATAGACGCTTGCATCTAACAATCTGAGCAGTAAATTGAAGAACGCTAACAGTCAAGCTAGTACTACTCTTAAATTCATGAATTCTTTTCCTTCCTCTGCACATGGCAAGAATGTAATTCACGAGGCAAATAAAATGGTTAAGCAAGCTTGTCTCGCTAGAACAATTACGACTGAGTTGGGAGTTCGATCCTCACTGGGTGCTCTATATTCTCAACCTTGAGCCACATCTAAGTTACGCTTAGAAAAAGGGAACCTCAAGGCGATGTAATGGTTAGCAAGAAGAATTACGACGAAGTAGTGAGTTCGATCCCCATTGGGTGACCCATACTTTCGGCCTTGTGCCACATCTAAAGTACGCTTAGAAAACGGGAACCTGGAGGCGGTGTAATGGTTAGCAAGCTTGTCTCGCTAGAACAATTACGACTGAGTAGTGACTTCGATCCTCACTGGGTGCCCCATGCTTTCGGCCTTGTGCCACATCTAAGCCGCGCTTAGAAAACCACTATGAGACAAACAAAATAAAAATGTATTATGTATAAGAAAATAACAGGTTTTATCATAAACGAAACCTATTTTGCCTCAAGAGTTACATTTTATTTTTGTTTAATAACAGTTTTGATTTCTATGTCGCTATGGAACGTTTACTCGAATATTTGGTTTATCTTAATAACTTATCAATTTCTATGTATTATGTAATTCCGAAATCTAAATATTTTGATCTTCAATTAAATATATTTTGAACGCAATTTTATACCCTCAAATACAGATCAAATATATTGTTGGTAATTTTACTATTGATGGGCACGTTGCCGAGTGCTCATTAGAAATTTCTCATTGTGACCATGAGATCCGGGTTCGAATATCACCATGGTCGATTTGTCAAGAAAGAAACTTCCTGATGTTACCGGACTGGATCCCAGCGTGCGGCAACTTTAGAAAGAGCCTGAAAAACATAACACGGGTTAACCCAATCCTTGTGATTGTAATTGGGTAGACGGAATCCTTGGGGGTTCGTCGATAGCTTTGCTAGCACGAAGTCACAAGCCATCGTGGCCGAGGGCTTGAGCGGGTTGGCCTTGTTCAAATTTTTGATCACGCTAGAAAACACGCTCTTTCCCAGAAACTGTAATTAAGGTTTGCTCAGCATAATTGTAGTATAAAGCACAGGTGGGATCTGTGGGTGTTGAATAAACAGAAATGCGCCTGGGCAAGCGTCTGCAATAGGGATTGGCTGGCCGTCGAATTAGACGGGAATCCTCGAATACAAATGGCCAGATATACAATAGGTATTTTAATTAATTTTACTATAAATAGGTATTGTTGGTAATTTTTTATATACAAATATGCTACTATTTTACTATAAGTATGTATCTTTTATACTTTTATAGTGGTTTGATTGGGGGTTAACTATTTATCCATAGTGGGGGGCTAATAGTTGCTACCACCCCGGGACAGTGTGGGCCTAAGAACAACAGCAATTAAGAAGTGGTTCAGCGCTCCTTAAAACCTCCAATCTCCCGGTCAGAGGTCTTGCTGCCGGATGTAGTTTATCGTCATACCAAGACTAGTCTACTCAAATAGGTGTACAGAATAAATATAGCAATAATATATATATATATATATATATATATATATATATATATATATATATACCTTAGCATATACATACATATTCATATGCATATATAGAAACAAATATAGAAATATATGAAAAAGAATATTAGGACATCGGACTAAAGTAATAGTCATCAAATATCACACAAGACCCCAAGCGAAGCCAGGTACAAGGTTGCCCTGAGGCTACTTTCAGCCTAAGAGAGCAGTATCACATGGCATCACAGCTGTAAATTGGTTTTGCGAGCGTACGATCGAATTACATGACGCAGTCATGTAAATGACCAGAAATAACTAAAAAGAGGGCAGTTTCTCAGATATTGCAGTCGAGAATGTAAGAACCACGACCAACGAGAACTCCGTGGGCCGCACAGACGCACCACATACTTACCGAGAGTAATTAACGATGTCTTCTTCTCCCATGCGCTGTGTCCCTTCAGAACGTGAGCGATCATGGCACTCCACAATTTCCTGTCCTTTGTAGCTCTATATAAGTATTGTCTTTTTGCTATGTCTCCTAAACAACTGTTCTGCTAACTATTTACACAATCTTGTTAGGTAGATTATCTCCTGCTGTCCTCAGTCCTTCTTGACTTCAGTATGCCATGTGGGCGTCAAATTCTCCAAGCCATCTTTCTTCAGTCTATATCCTATCCGGAGCGAAATGAAATGTCAATTTAAAAACGAAAGATTCCAGGTTCTGTCAGTTATGTGCCATGCGTGATACACGCTTAGGCGATCATGTATGAATACAATATAGGAACCAGTAATAAAGAGTGCCAGAGAAAAGCAATTATAACAACAAAAAATTGCATTACGTGTTCTGGTAAAAAAAAAACACGCAATGATAACAGCAAAAATTGCAATATGAGCACTGGTAAAAATGGTTGCTGAAGACATTAGGTTTATAATACTCAGAAAGTCATGAACAGATGTCTTCAAGGACACATGGCACAGTGGATAAAGTCGTTGGTTAGATCCAGTGACACGACCCAACGAGTGTGAGTTCAATACCTGGTTACCAGAACTCATATTTCAAATTTATATGAGGATGATACTCCGAACAATGTAAATAGTGTAAAATAATATAATGATCTTTCTTTTTTTTTTAAATGCCGTGTTCTTTCCGAACGTAGGTTATTCCTATCCCTTGTAGCTCTTTTTCGTCTCTCTGCCACCTTCCCCAGACTACGTTCTGTCATCCATTTGCTTAAGTTCGCCAGGTATGTCATGCGTTGCTTTCCCTTGTCGCTTTTTCCCTCTATTCGACCTGTGAGTATCAGATTTTCCATGCCTTCCTTTCTCATTACATGTCCAAGAAATTTCAGCTACTTTCTGATGTTAAGTATAAACCTACTTCTTGTTTGCAGCCTCTCCAAATACTCATCGCTGCTCACACGCTCTGTCCATGATATCCTCAGCATGCTTCTGTAGAACCATATCTCCGTTGTCCCGAGTCTCTTCTTCATCTTTGAGGAGACCGTCCAACATTCGCTGCCGTAAAGGAGGACTGATGTCACGTCGCAGCTCAGTACTTTTTTCATTGTCACCGAAGTAATCCTCCTGTCTCGCAATACTCTGCCCAGCTTTTGGAATGCATGTTTGGCCATCCCAATACGTCTTCGGATCTCAGCGTCGCACTTACCGTCCTCTGTCAGAACACTTCCCAGATATTTAAATTTCCGCATCAGCTTGATTTTAGTGACCCCGACCTGTAAATCTTATTTCGGTCTCATCTTTTTTACTGATGACCATGCATTTCGTCTTCTTGTAGTTTGTGCTTAGTCCCTTCTTCTCGCTCTCCCTCGCTACCTTCTGTAGGAGGTTTTGTAGTTTCGTTTCCGTGTCTGCTATCAGGACTGTGTCATCTGCGCATCTTATGTTGGTGATATTGTGGCCGTCAGTATAAAGTTACTTATCGCAAATATTAATTCAGCTCACGAAATTATAAATTTTAAATCAAGTTTTGTTTTTTTTTTTAATTTAATTTTGGGATACTCTTTCGAAATTATAAATTTTAAATCAAAATTTGTTTAGCTTGCTTCGCAACAACTCAGAATGAAAAATCCCCTCTCGGAAATTCGAGGTACTTACAAGGAATTTTTACAATAATAAAAAAAAAAATAACAGAAAAAAAAAATCTGTTTTTTGGCTTATTTACCGGGGTGAACGTGAAAAGAGATCCTACACTTAGAAATAGTGCACCTAGGTCGTCCACATTTGGGGCGATCGCAAATATCAACCCAACTGAAGTGCAATGGAAAGAAAGGCCTCGCTCTGGAGAATTTTGTGAATTTTAGTAAATATAAATTCTTTTTTTTTATTTTGGGGTGAATTAATAGAAAAAAAGATCTTTATTCTACAAAATTCTAGTTTTTATTTTAATCTGTTGATTAAGTGGACTCAGCAAGTGAAAATCGAACTTTAAAATACAATACCGAAAACATGTTATATGTCTACTGTGTGAAAGACTTTTCTTAAATGAATCGGTTCAGTATGTACTTCACACAAGGCGGGATGTGTCACAAAGCTTCCGTTTAACGCGGGTCTTTCCCAGCGTGTATGCACAGGCAAAGATTTTCTGTAGACCCAGCATAAATGGGACCAGGTGGCTGTCTATTTTTTTCTCCAGACGTGATTCTTCACGTAGGTATAGCGTCGTCTAACTTCCTCTCCGCCCGAAGACAGAGAGTTCGACAAGCTTTGGTAGACTCAAAAGAATCTACTCACATAACGTTGTGTACGATAAAAAAGTACTAACGCAAATACCATATACAAAAACTTTGCAAGCTGTTTAGAAGTTTACGGATATATAATAAAATTAAAAATAATTAATAAAATTTTAATCCTTTAATTTTTAATGTTGAATGTTGAAGATCGATCCTTTAAAAATACAAGGCATCGAAAACGAACTGTCCTTGTCGTCTCAGCACTTCGTGAAAAGCCATTTGTCTCAATGGTGTGAGGTGCATAGGATCCATAAATGGTTGAACTATGTCGGACTGCGAAGGATTGAAATGGAAGCATTCTACCTGCTGCTCGCTGCTGAAGAACTGTTGCAGAAAAAAGGGCTTTTATTTGTGATGTAAAATCTAAAATCCTCTGAGCAGTGTTTAATATTTTAGATTTTTGCATGATAAAAATGGTAGTGGCAAATCGGTACCAATTTATTTTTTGTCGAAACGAGCCTGGCTATTTGGAGGTGAACAAGACTGGAATTGGAAAAAAAAGCAGCCTATTATTATCTCAATAATATCTGGGAATCCGAAGCGACAATTACCGGTCTCTCACTGAAGGAATCTATCTATCTATCTGTCTATCTATCTATCTATCTATCTATCTATCTATCTATCTATCTATCTCAGTTTTTCCTTTCTGTCTCATTATTTACCAGTCCCTGTCTCTTCATATATATCTATCCATCTACGTTTTTCTTCTCTTTGTCTGTTTTCCTGCCTATCAATCTCAGCCTCTTCATATCTATCTATCTATCTATCTATCTATCTATCTATCTATCTATCTATCTATCTATCTGTCAAGGCAGCGAAAACGTCTTTGAACTCCGTTGTGGCTGGAAATATATGATTGGGCAACACCAGAACACTATTAATATGATAATATTTCGGAGGATAAAACTTTCGTATGTTATCAAAATTAGCGTTTTTTTTTTTAATTTCATCATTCATAATCTTTTTTCCTAACAAATTCTTATTGGTCATTGATTATAATGTTTTTTTTTTTTTTTTATAAAAGCTGAAATCATTTTCTGATTGATTTCTACCGATACATTTCCTGGCTGCCTCGTATTAGGTATCGATTTTAATTAGATAATTATTACATAATCACGGACAAGTTCCAAGTCTCCTTAACAGTAAGTTAATAGTAATTTGGGACTTTCATCAAAATTCATCATCATCATCATCATCATCATCATCTTCTTCTTCTTCTTCTTCTTCTTCTTCTTCTTCTTCTTCTTCTTCTTCTTCTTCAAATAATAATAATAATAATAATAATAATAATTACTAGAAATACCCGTGAAAATTTCGATCTTTTAAGAAGTGGGTACAAATGAAAAGATTTTGAAATTGACGACTTTTTGCATTTCACTGAAACAGACGTTAAACGAATAAGAGTTTTATCTCCTCTTCGATCTCACCTTCTTTCTTTCTTTTGTTCATTTTCTCACTGAAACCAAGTAGCCTGTCTGATATATCTTTTCCGTCATTTCACTCGATCAAAACAGAATAGTTCATTATATATCAGATATTGGCAAGGCGTAACTTACGTGAAAATGGAGTGGGACACGCAGATTATTATTATTATTATTACTATTATTATTATTATTATTATTATTATTATTATTATTAATATGATCTTCATACAAGCAAAAATGTCCTTTTCAATTTATTGGAAATAGCTCGTTTTTCTTGCCCCAAAGCTATTTTCGGAATTAATAAAAATAAAAAAAAAATGTCTTCAATTCTGACACTTCCTCTATTTCAAGCAAATAAAAAATAAGAAATTTAAAAAAAAAACAAAATGGAGGTTAAATAACTGATGAGAATGTGGCCTGATTATACGTTGGCAACCGACGAGTAGACAAAGATGGCGGCTTGTACGCTACACAATGGTCGTCTGACGTTGCACAAGAATCAGAAATAAAATTTACGCGATGCTATTTTTTTCTCTCATTTTAAATAGAGAACAAAAATTAAGTAGGGATTTTAGCGCTGTCTTTCGTACTCGAAAAAAATTCACGTCAATATTAAAAAATAGTATTTCATTTTAAGTATGTCTGAGAAAAAAAAGGAGGTAAAACGTCAATCGACAGAAAACAAAAAAGAATATTAAAAGAAGAATAGGTGTGAAATTAAATGCAAAAAAGAAAGAGTGACAGGCAGAAGGAGAGAGAAAGAGAGTGATGAAATAAGGTACACTAATAAGAAAAAAGAAGGTTGAACACTTCCACCTTGTGTAATGGTTAACAATCTTGTTTCGCTAGATTCATTGCAACTGAATTATGTTCAATCATTACTGGGTACTGATTACTACACTTTAATGTACTCTTAGACAATCATAATAAGAAAATAAAGTAATAAATATGTAGAGTGAAGACGTAAATGTACATCAAGTCAGTTAAATCCCAAATGACAAAAATAAATGAATGCTTTAAAAATAAATATTTAACATTTTTCAACCAACCAGCAGCGTTCTCACTGACAATAAAAAAAAAAATGTTTCGTGATCCATTTGAAGAGTATATCAGCAAAGTTTCTAGACCCGACAAACTGTAAGGAGATACAAGCGACAACAGTTCAAAGTGGAGGCTAAAAGAGATTAACTGACTCTTTCCCCCGTCTTCCTCACCAAGCTACGTGACACTTACACATTCCTCTTCGCTTTCACCCTTGCCTCTTTTTTCTCATCACATACACGCAGAGAAATTGGCAATTCTTTTCATCTTAGCAAACAACCGCAAACAGGGACTGTAAAAAATATTTATGAAGATAAAACTTTTATATTTTATATTTTTGGCTTTAAACACATTTCTCGCCTTTTTCTTTGTTTTGGGTTGATTCAAATCCACACACACACACACACACACACACACACACACACACACACACACACACAAATATTTACATTTACACACACACACACACACAAACACCTGCACGCACATTCACATAATATATATATATATGTGTGTGTGTGTGTGTGTCACACACACACACACACACACACACACACACACACACACACACACACAAATTTTACATTTACACACACACAAACACACACACACAAATATTTACATTTACACACACACACACACACAAATATTTACATTTACACACACACACACACACACAAATATTTACATTTACACACACACACACACACAAATATTTACATTTACACACACACACACACACACACACACACATATATATATATATTTGTGAATGTGCGTGCGGGTGTTTGTGTGTGTGTGCATGTGTGTAAATGTAGATATTTGAATATTCAGGTTATAGGCATAAAATATGAAATCGGCAGGCCGAGATTTTTGCATAAACCACGCGCTGTTTTGGGGGAAAGACATAAATCCATCTCATTTCCCACGACAGGCAAAGTTGTATGGCACACTAGTCTCTATAGACCTCTCAATCCGTCTCGACAAACATCTTTGCAGGGGGCAATAGCAACGCATACAAAGGGCTCTCGTTTCACAGGCTATTCACATTCTGCAGATATCAAAGAAAAAGAACGTCGTGGAGAACGGTAATCATATTTACATTATTTAAATCATTCGGACTGTTATCCGCATCTTCATTGCCATATTCACAACGTTTCAGACGTTGTACACTCCAGCCTTCTTTATGTGATTGGAATTTTGAACCGAAACCATTATTTCGTCCACCGGGGTAGATTGTTCTACTTCCACATGCCATATCTCTTCTCAGTTATTTCCCTTTAACTGAACTCTCCAAGTTTTTTGGTTCACTGTTGCTATAGCCTGGTTGTGAACTCACAACTCCTTGGGTTCTAGTCAATGGATTTAACTACAATATGAATGATAAGGAAAAAGCTACATATATTAAGTTTGATAGAATAGATTTTTATCCCTCCGTCTCTAGTTATCTCTTGGTTAATTGTATTAACTTTGCGAAAAATTATATGGAGATTACGGATGATGAGACTAATATAAACTTAACTGCTAGAAAATCAATATTAGCACTTACCTGGACTAAGTAACTTAATGACGATTTTGATGTCCCTATGGGAGCATGATTCAGCCCAGGCTGCTGATTTAGTATGTTTTTATATTTTAGATACACTTAGTAGAATTCTAGATCCAAAACTAGTAGGCCTATATAGAGATGATGGACTCATTTTCATCCATAATAGTAATTGTCTACTAACTGAAAAATTACAAAAGAAAATCATTAGGGAATTATTAGGGTTTAGGGTTGAGATTTCTTCTAACGTTAAAATAGTTGATCATCTAGACATCACCCTTAACCTTAATAATAAAACCTTTAATCCTTACCATAAAGAGAATGATCCCGCCACTATATTAATGCCAATTCTAACCTCCCCAGTGCCATTGTAAGACAGATACCTACTACTGTCGGTACTAGAATTAGTAGATTATCGCCCAGCATAAACATCTTCTATAGAAATAAAGAATTGTATGAAAATGCCCTTTATAAAAGTGGATTCAAAATAAATTATCGTATCTAACACCCATAAGTAACACTAAAATATCTAAAATGGGATGGAGGCATAAAAAAGAAAAGGAAAAATTATATGGTTTACCCCCGCCCTTCTGCAAATTATCAAATATTAATATCGGACAGCATTTTCTAAAGTTAATAAATGAATATTCTCACAAAACAACCGTCTAAGTAAAATCTTCAGTGGGAAAACGATTCCTGCACCAATAACATGTACAAAATTATCAACTCTTATAACTAGATTTGAAGTAAATTCTATGGGATAGACAAAAAATCTTGTATGGAACACCCCTGTATTTGCAGAGATAAAGAAAGTTATCCAGTTGAGGGTAAATCTAGGTCTATTAGGGTGATGTACCAAGCAACCATTCCCCCACCCACCACAAATATGATAAATTATAATGTTTACATTGGAACTTCCGCGGAGGAATTGAAACAGAAATTTTATACCCATATCTTTCTAAAAACAATTGGGAATTCAAAGAGAAATGTCTCATACTCCTAATAGTCTTAGAGATAGGTGTAACCTATGTTTAGAAAAAAAAATTGGAATAATAAAATACAATAACTGTTGTGGTAGGATCCACCTAATTTGCATAGTGGAGTACCGACCATATAAATATGGTTGGTACCGGGAA